TTTCATTCAACAAAATCAAATGAAGAGATAATGGTTTTACCTTACTAATATTATAAATGCGAATGTGTAGATAGACAGATGTTTGTTTGAAGGTATCTCCAGAACGGATATCGGTAAAATTTGGCATGCATATAGTACATAGTGTGGAAGAACACGTACTAGTAATGTTTCTTTTTTAATTCCGCGCGCATTAAGTCGCTGGCGACAGCTACTTATAACATAAAAGATAAAGAACATTCGTTATAATATATTCAAAATTCACTGGTCGCGTAAACTCGATAAATATTTTTCCTCATAACAATTGTTAAGATAAACATATATGGTATTTATTTTATGTTTAACGTTTATAATAGTAAAAATATATGCGTGAAATAACACATCAAAAGTAAAGTACGGACGTTGCCCTAGAAAACGTTGATGGATTGAACACGGCTACGTAAAATTATTGCCGGCCATTGTAGCATTAATACACAATGCAGCTGGTACACTACGTTTTTATTCGTCTGTAGCCAGATATTACATTCGTTCATACATAAACAATACTATAATTGTCACGAACTATACCTGTGTATTTTTCCTATCATTCTAAAATGCCTGATATCGATATATATGGTTTATAATCTTACTTACTTTAATAATATTATAAATCCGAATGTTTGGATGGATGGATGTTTGTTTGAAGGTATCTCCAGAACGGCTTAACGAATCTCGTTGAAATTTGGTATAGATGTAGAATATAGTCTGAAAAAAAAACACAGGCTACTTATTAAGTTTTTTTTTGATTCCGCGCGCACAAAGTCGCGGGCGACACCTTGTATCCATATATTTAATTAATATAATCTATTAAATCTCGTCTATATGAGTATTAATGGTCTTTATTATTTTGTAATATTTTAAGTAACATTAAAATTATATCAAAATTATCTTACTTCTTACTAATATCATATTATTTAATTCCGCGCTGACGGAGTCGCGGGCGACAGCTAGTGAAAATCGTAAGAGGTATTTGAACACTTTTAAATACATTTACTCTAACACCAGCGATACATATTTGAATATAAACTAACCCATTGCTTTCCTATTGAATCTAATTAAATAACAGGTCATTGAACCCCGCATACATCCGTGTGGAGGAAGTTTGCCTATCGCGAGATAATAGAATAAACAAAAAACATATCTGTTTTAACAGCTGTCATCGTATTGTGATTGTTTTTGTACGACAAGATATACTATTGGCAGGAACTGGAATAGCTATTACATAAATAAATCGTATTACCGAGAAAGTAGCACAAAACGCAGATTATATGGAAAATACATTCACCGTTTTGATGAGTGAACTAACGTAAACGTAATCCCTTTGAATAATTTCTTTACCTTTTTCTTGCCGAAATATAGAAATACTAGTTGTTGCCTGCGATTTAGTCTGCGCAGAATTTTCAATAAAACTTAATATGTAGCCTATGTGTTCTTCCAAAATATGTTCCACATTTATACCAAATTTCAGCGAGATCCGTTCAGCCGTTCCGGAGATACCTTTAAACAAACATCCAACCATACATCCATCCATCTAAACATTCGCATTTATATACGGAATTTGCCCACGATACAAGCAATGCATAGTGAGGGCATCACTAGATTTTCCAAAATAACCATAAATGGTAACTTAAGTTTAATTTAATTTCTCAGTTATGTGTAATTTTTATGTTAGTATAAGGTTGAGCGACGGGCCGCGTCCCCGAAATAATACCAGTACCACTCATCCTGATGAAGGGCCCCGATGGGCTCGAAACTAGTCGGTGCCGCCACCGGACGTATATACGTGAGTGTTTAGCCGTGTTTATATATCAGTTTAGTATAATGTCTCACGAAAGTTTGAATAATTTATTAGTATAAGGTTATTGTTTTTGGTTTAATCTTTATTACCTGTAATAAAAACTTTTTCTTTCCTTCTTTATAATATACGTAAGATTTTTTTCCATCTTTAAATTAGATAGTTGTTTGAAATTATAAATCAAATGCTTTAATGGAAACAGTCTAATGGGGATAATCGTCTTAACTCGAATTACAAACATATCCAAAGCGAACCAAGGTTTATCCGATAATTGGATATCATTTACATGAGTTTTATAATGGGCAAGTCAAGTACGAATCGAATGGTTCGACAAATCCATTGAATGAAATCGTTCACTCCGACTTGATTTAATAAATAAATAATATATTTTTTTTTATTATTGAAAGATGTGCTTGACAACCCTATACGTTAGTGAACGATGATTTTTTTTCCTATACTTATATTGGTAAATAATTGGTAACTTTGGAACAATGCCATAGTTTTTAAACAAAAATGGCGTTAAAAAAATATCAAACGCCTCTAAAAATTCGAGGCATTAGTTTAACTTATTTTTATTTAGAACTGGTTATTTTGCTGTATAACATTATATATGGTAATTCTTTAAAATCATGAATTATTTGTTATCGCGTAAACAAGTTTTCAAATAAGCTCACCAAGGCCATAGGATTCAAAATTTTGATTGACACATAGCTATTTTTATCGTTGTTTTACGAACGGATAAAGTGGATGAGACATTAATCTTATATAAAGTCGAACCTGGATAAGCGAGAAACCTCTTACAAGCGAGAGTCACTTTCTGGTCCCGAGAGAAGACCTCTATAAGCGAGAAACTCGGGATAGAGAAAACCTTTATAAGCAAGAAAAATATCGCAGTCCCTCGGACTCTCCTATATCCTATGGTTTAATTGTATGTTGATAATATAACGACGGGTTTCGACGGAAGTGACTTTACTAATGCATATTGTCCCTTACATTATCTTAGAAAAAACAGAGACAATATTATCTAATAATACAAATCAACGCAATTGATATCTACAATAATTTTCACAGTAAAACGTATTAGCAGTACTGTCAAAAAGTTATTTCTACTAGTTTTTTAATTATATTCCTTGTTCACACTTATAAAAGGAATAAATGAAATCAAAATCGCACGTGCGGAAATTTATATTTGCATGTATTCTGGCCAGTGTGCCAATAGGACGGAAATATACAAGACATGTAGAAACTCTGTCCACGCATAACACGCGCTATGTGTCTACCCAAAATATTTATAAAAAACATCGGCATTGTTGTAGCTTGCGAAATAACGTATATGTTTGCCATTAATTATGTATGATTATTTTTTACATGTTTGTATATAGGAACAAAGACGTCTTTACGGTAAAATTTCCACTGACAACGTGTGAACAAAAACTTATTGTCATCTCTGTTTATTTCAAAGAGAATAAGAGTGATGCAAATATAACCACAGTTATGTTCGTCACTTTACAGCACATGGCGTTAGATTAGCCAGGCGGTCCTTAATTGGAAGGATGACGTAAGTCTAACTCATATCTTGAGATTAATAAATACATAACAAACTTGAAACAAAAAGCAAAATGCTTTTAGTTTTTTCATATTTTTCTTACATATTTATGTTAATATCAACATGAAAACTGCAAATTATTTTGTTAAATAAAAAGATTTTTAGAAAGTACTCACAAAAGGACAAAATAAACTAATTAAATAAATAATAAGGGCTACTAAAGGCGCAACTTCATTAGTCGATAACTCAATCCTTATACAGGATGCGGAGAGTCCCCGCATAAGAGCTAACAACTAATAAAAATATAGATATTTCAATAATCATTCTAAACACTTTATACAAACAAGTATTCGCACACATGCAAGTATGCAAGTCAACTATCCATGTACATTAAAAATAAGCAGACTTCGTAGTTCCCTTTGAAGAAAAAAAAATCATTTTACGGAAGGTGGGTTTTTAAAAGTAGGATAAAAAATAGATGTCAATAGATACAACATTAAATCACAAAATTAATTACTATTATAAAATAATACATTTTAAATTGAACAGAATCAAATTAACAAGGTTAAGTGGACATATTCCATGATAAAGGTAAGTATTTATTTAGAAATAGCAAACACTTAAATCCATAAAAGATCAAAATTAAGAATCAAATACAATTTAAAAAAATATTCAAATTTAGCCTCTTAGCCGCTGCAGCTCTAAAATCTTTTAATAATGAGAATAATACTGTTTGTTTGCATTGAAAAGGCTACAAAACTCCTGAAAAATTCTTTCACTGTCTTGAAGATACAAAATCCCTGAGTGATATAGGCCATATTCATTACAAGATTTTTTTTTAATTTTAGACGGACAACTTACGGGTAACTGTTAGTTTAGTAAGTTTAAGGATAAAATATAATAACATATAAACAAGCTATTAGATATCAAATAGTGATCACCATCAAAGTTAAATATGTAATTATTTTATATAAAGAATTCAGCAAACAATGAAGCAGAACCCTAAATCTTTATTCAATAGATAATATGTGTTGCAGATGCAATTTAATGCATTCCCTCTATTTGATTGAAGAGAGGATAGAGTGTAAAACGCTATTTCCTTTTCCTATTAAATCTCTCCCCCGTTAATTCCATTCTTTGGTCATGACCATGGTTATTTAAAACATTATCTACTTTAAACAGCTCCTTGGTAAGAACTTAATTTATTTGATTTTTTTATTCTGAGGACTATATCAAGTAGTAAAATCACAATAGGCAATCAATTTTATTAATTTCCATCTTTGAAATTATTCTTTTGCAAGTGTAATGTTTTATGAAATTTGAAACTCTTATTGAATTAATTATCAAATTTGATTAAACATATATCAGTTTTTAACTTAATTCAATAATAATAAATTAGTCTTCATATCACAAATATTCTTACAAGGCTAAGTGAGTGTGCAATTTACAATGTTGTAATAAATACCTGATGGCTTGAATAAAGTTACATTTGGAATGAACAAATTCTTCACTACTTGATATTCACAATTCATTCTATAAAGATATTCTTATTTTTTAGCGGAATAAATGTCGTAAAAACTTTCTTCACGCCATATTATTAATATAAATAAAAATGTTACTGACCTGACACGATAAAGGAAAATATTCCTAAGATCTTGAAGCTTGATATAGATTTCTTGCACTTTTGTTAAAAAACAAAATAGAAGCTGATATTAACACAAAATCTATTCAAATCGTAATTGAAACAAATGAATCACTTTCGCCACTATATTGCTAACCAGTAGTTCACTGATAAAACGAATCAAATTACCACCAGACCACATATGCGTAATGAAGAGACGATTGGCATTGAGTATTCTTTTAGATATCTATTTATTATATTTTAAATAAAATAACTTGAAAGTAGTAAAACTTGAAAACATCTACACACTTGACACTTGACAAGAGAGCGGGTTAACCTCTTGTTATAAGAATTATTTACAGACACTACTTGAACAAGTGAAAATGAATTATAACTTTTAAAGAATAAAAGTATAGTTAATTTTAATTTATGGTAAAAAAGGTAATTTAGTGTGAATATTTTTAGTAAATTAAAATGAAAGTAACACAATCGACGAATACGACAATGTCTAAACAGATAACGTAATATACTATCAATGTACCACAGATTAAAAAGAAACAGTCTGATCGTTCTTATCTCGATTTATAATTTTATAATAACGTAATTCAACGACTGAACTGACACACGTACGCTGCGGAAAACTAACATACAATGACGCTGGCCGATGCAAAGCTGTAGCATACAACATACAACCAATTACATAAAATCTGTAGTAGCTTAGCGAACGAATCGCTAACCTACTACGTTAGAAATTAACTAAGGCGCTGAATTCAAATACTGTAGGTACAGTTTAAGGACTAGCTTATTTTTATCTTTAATAAATGTATAGATTAACATTGTTATTGTCAGTTAAATAATTTCTGCGATGAAAGTAATTAATTTAATAAAACAATAGTATTATTACTTTGTAACCCAACGTTTTGCGTAACGTTAATGAATGATTGTGTGATAGTACAATGTAGCTATTGTTATATTGTTTAAAAAACGACCACAAATAGATCAAACTCAATGTTCAACCTTATGTCTCTGGAGACACTTCGTTTTATTTATTTTTTCTTAGCGTACCTGATTTATTCCCACGACTTTGAACAGTTAACACTTTCAGCGCCACCGCCTCGCTTGGCGAGTTATTGGCGATAAAAAAAACAAAGTGGTATGGAACGTGTTAAGAATCTAGTAAGATAGGCGACGAGTTTAAATTACCCGTATATAAAAGTCGGGGGATTGTTTGAAATATGAACACCTTGAGTTAGATTACAGCTTAAAAATTAATTAAAGATCAAAAAATTAATGTACACCGAGGTATCAATTTTAGCGATGAGATTATAATACTGAGGTTTCAGAGCGTAAATGTGCTTGGCCTTCTTAATTAAGCTGAAGTTCTGAAGTGGTTTTCTATGACGTTGTTGACATATATTCAGTGGTCATCGATAGTCAAGTTTGCAAGCAAAAGAAAATTAGATTTGTTTCTCATCTTAATATGCTCATCCCAAATCTAGAGTTAGGACAGAGTTGATTTCACTAATTTGTGTTTAATTCCTAAACCTATTAACGAATCAAACACCATTACTTTAATAAAACAAATTACAATTTGGATATTTAAGTAAATAAATATTTAATAGAATAAAAAAGAAAAAAAACATAACGATGGTAACATTTATTTTTTAAATTAAAAAAAAAGTCAATTAACGAGCTCTTTGGAAGAATAATCACAGAATAGGTATACCTATTGTTATTGTTGTTTATAATATTCTCGATACTCTGTGCTCATTTTTGCTTTTAAATTAATTTTTTTACAATTTTAATATCAATAACAAATGAACCCAAATAAAACTGCCCTTAAATGCATTCTATCGTTCTTCGTATATAGTATGTACATACAATAAGCATTATTCACATTCCTTATGTTTTGTTTCATTTCTTTATTGGCAATTCTTTTAAAGGTTTGACGTTTAGTTCTTTAGCGAGTTTTTTAGTGATTTCAATAATTCGTTTTACGTACGTTATGGTTCCTTCACGATCAGTTTTTTCACCAACTAACCTCTCCATATCACCAGGCGCAATTACTGGTAACTTTGGATTCACCTGTTATATAAAATAATTATATAGAAATTATTTTATCTGGTAAAGCACAACGCAATATCAAAGCATTTTTCAAACATTGAAATTTATATGAGTTTTGTAACAAAGCTTGAAACTGTGATGAATATCTGAAGCGGATCATCAAATAGTACAAATTCATTTACTACCACAATCATAGTAGTTAAAAGGCCACTAACGGTTGGTTTCCGAGATCAAAATCTCTGTCTAAACATAGCGCCATCCCTCTCATTGTGTATGACAAAACAGAGATAACGATATGTTTTAAACAGAGATTGTGGTTTTCGAATCCCACAATGAATTAGTTGGATATACCTGATTATCATCCCTGTTATTGTCTTCCACAAAACAGAGATTACGTGATGTTTCTAACTGAGCCACGTCCAGGGTAGTTCTGAGACATTGGTGTCAGAACTACCCTGGATGTGGCTCTACATAGTACGCTCGTAAAAATATATGAAAGTTATTGTGAGCTAAATTAAAAAATAAGGCTTAAATTAAGTTGAATATTACCGGTTCCATTTTTCTCCAGTACGTTAATGACTCAGAAACGCGTTCCTTGAAGCCGGGCGCAAAATGGTTGGGGTCCATTACGATAAATGTTTGGCCGAGATTTGCCGCCTCACTACTGGTATTCGTTATCTTCCACGTTCGTATGTGATGACCATATTTTGATCCTTAAAAAAAAAATAGTATACTAAATGACGCCCGCGACTTCGTCCACGCGAAAACATAATAAGTAGCCTATGTGTTCTTCCAGACTACATATGTGCCAAATTTCATCAAAATCTGTTGACCCGTTCAGGAGATACGTTCAAACAAACATCCATCCATGTAAACATTCGCATTTATAATTTTAGTAAAATAGTAATAAATAAGTTTCAAATAACATATAGTACTACTATCCAACCTGTTTTTATTCATTCGATGTGCACGAAGTCGCGGGCAAAAGCTACTTATAGATTTAAAATATACCTGCAGTGATTCCACATAACACTTCCACCATAGCTGAAATTCCGTAGCCTTTGTAACCCGATGATTGCTCTGAACCACCTAAAGGCATAAGACTTCTCGTTTTCATTGCCTAATAACAAAAACATTCTAAGCAACGTTAAAGTTTATTAAAATATCATTTTATATCACAATTTTTCTAATTAAAAACAAAATAGTCATAATATTTAAGGAACACCCTTATACCGAAAGCTTTTATTTTTTGATGATCAATAATGATTTTAAAGACGACTTACCGTGTGTTTCTGATACAGAAATCTTCGTTTAAAACATATTATTATCTTTGTTTTATCAAAGATGAAAGACGGGGATGACATTATGTTTTATACAGAGATTTTGACGTCAGAAACCCACGCTTACAAAGTTTGTAATCAACCATTTTTAATCATAAATTTTAAATTACGTATTTTACTCATATAGCAATGTAAATTTCTGGTTATTACAGCTTGCGCGTCGTTCGTAACTTTTCCGTCAGGACCTAGGGCCCAACCATCTGGCAACCTCAATCCTTTACGTGCATACAGCGCCACCTACGACAATATATTAAGATAAAAAAACCCCCAAAATCACAATTAGTATCTAACATTTATAAATAACTAAATAATGCCATGAAAAGACATTCATTGTCCGCGAGAACAATTTATTTCATGAGTAATTTACTTAGAATAATCTCTACCCATTTTTTGTCAAGATGGCTAGTTGTAGTAACCTTTGTTGGCGTTAATGCCTTAGTAAACTATGGGTTCTTCCAGACTATATTCTATATGTATGCCAAATTTCATCAAAATCCGCTGAGCCTTTGCGAAGATACCTTCAAACAAACATCCATCCATCCAAACATTCGTATTTATAATTCATATTATGATTTACCTTTCCTATAGAAACGGCTGTTGTCGCAAAGTCCAAGTAGAAGTAATCGTCATTACAGCCAGGAGCAACAAAAGCTATTGGATTCGTTCCCAGCGCTGGCTGCAAAAACACTGATTTAGAAGTTACGAGTACTTAACATTATTTTATTTAACAATACTTTATAACTACTTATTGTACTTAATACTTGCCAAGCAATAGAAGATAAAGTGTGAATAGTTAATATTAAATGGAATTAAATTCGTGGAATAAACAACTATGAAAGCACAAATTACTTATTCCTATCACTTTTGGCATTAAACAGTGAGAAAGTCTTCGGTTTCGATGGTTTTCTGTCTCTCAATTAATACCAAAGAAGTAGGTAACTATTTCAAAACATTTATATGTGAACCTTTTTGCTTCTTGTGGGCGCGAGAAGCGGCGAACTATTGCTGAATGCAAATGCCACAAAGCCCTGCTTAGCAGCTAACATTGCCCAGTATCCACCAATACCGAAATGGTTGGACCCTAAAACATTAGTCATCCGTAAGACAACAGTGGTCTTCAACCAGTTTTTATATAACCCTATGTCACATTTTATCTTTGCCTTTCAAAATCCAGTCTAGTTCTTTTATAAGTTTGTTCTTTAGAAGTTCATAAGATCTCTCAGTTCTGTTATATGTATGCAAGTTTATTTTATTTTGTAGCGATAGATTCTTGTACCTACTTATTTTTGCTATGGGAAAGCAACCATGTCCAGTGAGTAGTATGTTTTTTAAATGTAAAACGTGACATTGATATTTTAATATACGTAGTCGTGGCCTATAAACTTTATCATTTATTTTTTAATAGCGTGAGGTGGCAAACCAGCGAACGGCCACCTGAAATCGCTGAAATAGCGAAGTGACTGTTGCCCATAGACATACGCAATTGCATATGCGTTGCCTACCTTTAATCGACGGAGGAGAGGATGCACAGATAGAAAATATTTTCCCTTTCCATGTATCCTCTAATCCGGAAAGTCCACTTCCCATCCTTTCCTTATAAAGAAAAGGGTGGGAAGGGAAAAAAAAACTAAATTAGGCCTCCTGGACGCACACTCATTAGACGAAACGCGGAATTGTTTCCACTTCACGCCTGTCTTGTGTGGTCGTGGTATTTCACCGGGCGAGCCGGGCCAATTCGTGCGAAGATGTTAAAGCGGGCTTCTTATGTTGTATAACATAAGAAGTTTTAAAAATTTTACATAATTTAGCCATAGTTAAGTCAAGAAAGGAAGGAATTTGTAAAGCAATGATTTACAGTACTTTTACATTTTATTTATATCATCACTATTAAAAAGAAGTTTTTTGGGCAAAGGAATTATTTATCATCCCAGAAACCGATTCCCATTCGCGGCATTGTAATCTTAGTACGGATTTATTTTACCTTTTGCAGCAACCCATCCAACGCCGCTCTTCTTCGCCTTCTCAATGGCCAAGCCCATGCAGAAATGCGCGGCAGTGGAGCCAAAAACGTTGTTAGCGTTCACCCACGCCGTCGACGTCGTTTCTTTCTCCACTTTGATCTCATTATTTGGTTGACATGCGCCAGTTTTAACATCATTTACATAGAACTCTAAAAAAGATTTATCACTTACTGTTTGCTCATTTAATATCTTATAAGTATTATAATAAAATCAGAATAATGTAAACAACAAACCCAATCTATTTAAGCCATGACTGTAGTACCCGATGCGATCCGCCTGGTACAGCATGTCTGCTTGCTGGCAGGCGGCTTTCGCATTCACACCGAGCGCTTTGAAGCAATCCGACGTGAAACGTATCACTTCATCCACGCATACTTTCGCCATGGCCTCCCTAAACTTTCCTATAGCATGTAATAATCAGAGATTTTGGCTGGATGGAAATCAAAAATGATGGGAAATAGTTAAATAATTATTAACATGAAAAATTAAGTCATGGTAGTGTTTTAACAGTGGTAGAGCCCGCTTTAACATCTTCGCACGAATTGGCCTGGCTCGCCCGGTGACGTACCACGACCACACAGAAAACAGGCGTCAAGTGGAAGCAATTCCGCGTTTCGTCTTATGAGTGTGCGTCCCGGAGGCGTAATTTAGTCCTCTTTCCCTTTCTACCCTTTTTCGTATAAGAAAAGGATGGGAAATGGTAATGGACTTTCCGGATGAGAGGATGCATGGAAAGGGAAGATATTTTCTTTCTGTGCATCCTCTCCTCTGTCGATTAAAGGTAGGCAAAGCGTATGCAATTGCGTATGTCTATGGGCAACGGTCACTTCGCTATTTCAGCGATTTCAGGTGGCCGCTCGCTTGTTTGCCACATTATGAAGAATTTAGAGTGTCAGGTTTAGAATATCAGGGCAAAAACTTGAAGTTCAGATGTTTGAATTTGTTTTCACTGGTTATTAGATATAGAACTATTATTGAATGATCGTAATAAAGACATTTGTAAGATCTAAGTATAGTTACAACTTACCTGTTGAAAGTAATAAATACTTGACTAACTATCCTCAATACGTTAGGTCTCTTCTAGTATTAATAAATAATGTTATAAAAATTATATTTTAAATTTCCCATGTTATCCGCAAAAATAAATATTTGTAACGTTTTAGGAACATTATTTTTAACAATTAAGATTCTTATATTCAATGTATGAATGACAATAATAAACTCTTTTGTTGTATAATTTTTGACATATGACAGAAAAAAATTATGGTTCTATTTTTTTTTTTAATTTTCACACCAACTATAAAGTCAAAGTAATTAACTCTTGCAATGGTTCTTCTTGTTGTACGATCTCCTTGGAGTAGCGCGTTACTTATCACATCCTTTTAACTTTATAACTTCTAAATTATTCGTTCACTTTCACACTTGGCCATCGTTACTAACTCTACTAGGGTTTTCTGCTGATGAAGACTTGACTTCGCCGAAATGATGTGAAACTGCCAAACAGTTCATCGTTGCGACAATTTTTTGCTAACCATGCATTTGATATAAATTTATAAAAAAGGAATGATAAATAAAATAAATCATGTACAAAAAAAAAACGTGAGTCATAAACTATTTAATAAATCGGTTTTGTTTATAAAAACTTCTTTTAATTGATACGATTTTTGCTTTATATTTGTTAATAATCTCCTCCTTTCTTACATTATAATATTTCAAACTTACACAAAGAATAATGTAAAAAGGACTAGGCTAATAGATCATTTTCTAAAACATCTAAAATCAACTCAGTTATTACGAAACTACAATAATAGTGGAAATATTTCATCACGATTAAATTAGAAAACAATATAATATATTTAAACATAACATATGGATTTGTTATATATATTTTTAAAATGTCAACACTTCCCAGCTTAGCATATATATATATATATATATTTATATATTTGTGAGATATAAAAAAAAATAACACGACATAAAATTATTGAATTTCTAAAAGTGTGAAATTAATGACAAATGTAAAAATATAAAGATGAATTCCTTTTTGTTTTATCCATTGATTGTTCTTTCATAATTAATTCCAAATCAATACCAGAACTTTACAAACGCCGTCTTTTACTAGTTACAAACCATTGGTGTCGCCTGGAGGGAAGGGAGGTGCAGCTACCCCCTCAACCTAGGCAATTGAAAAGTGTAAAATATGCCTACTCCCAACTAGATCTATTCTATCTGCGGCGGCTAGCGGCTGGTTAGGTTACTGACAATGACTACGAGGTAACTTTCATAGGATCTACATTAAGGGTGTTGGCGAGCGCTGCGCTGGTCTCCAGCTGCTGCTGCAGGTAGGTGACGGTGCCGCAGGTGTCGGTCACAGCTGCATTCTTCCTCTCTTTGTCACCAGGCGCCAGCACTGGTAGGTTAGAATCAGTCTGCAAAACGACGTGTCTTTTCAAAGTATTACTCGTATTTTACGAGGTCACTGTCTAGAGTATATACATGGTGTTCCACTTTTGAAAACATATTTAGCTCATTGCAATTGTAATACTAAACTATATAAAACGTCTGTAATTAAATCATTCCAACTTTCGTGAGACATAATAAACTGATATAAAAACGGCTAAAAATTCACGTATATTCGGTAACTAGTCGGTGCCGCTACCGGACGAATATACGTGTGTGTTTAGCCGTTTTTATATCAGTTCACATCTGTAATTGTTCAATTTTTTTGTGAAAACGTGTAATGATTCTGTACAATACAAGTGGATGATGAATAAAGTCTGTTTTTTTTATATGAGAAAGTGTTTTTCCGGTGTATTTCGAACTTATATTTTTATAGTAAAATCTGCAGGTTGATTTATATTGAAAACATTTAAGCTTTGGATTGTAACAAGATATAGTACCGGTTGCAGCTGTCTCCAGTGCTGCATGCAGTCAGTGAGGCGGTGGTGGAAGCCGGGCGCGAAGCAGCCGGGGTCCAGCGCCACGAAGCACTGCCCGAGGTCCGCGGCACCGCCCTCGCCGCTGTGCGACCACGACCTTATGTGATGCCCGTACAGTGAACCTGCAATTTACATATAGGTACATAGAGATTTTATGTTATGTTTCATCAAAAGTTACCATATAGGTTATATCCATTTTTTACATAAATACACATACTTTCTTATTTTTCACCTTTACCATAATCTGCTAGTGCATAAAGGTCTTTACTAACCTGACAATATGCCACAGAAGAGTTCAACCATAGCGGACAGACCAAAACCCTTGTACCCTGAAGTATTCTCCACACCTCCCAGCGGCATCAGACATTGCGTCTCGTATGCCTGGAATAATAAAATTACATTTAAGAAAGTGATAATTAAAAATTATCGTATGAAATAACTTTAAGAAAGTCGAAATGTAACGTATTTACATACCAAAGCGGCGTCAGTCGTCTCTTTGCCGTCAGGTCCTTGTGCCCACCCATTCGGTATAGGCTCGCCTTTACGCAGTTGCATTTCGATCTGACAACACACATTATTTATATGTTAATTTTTTTACCACAATTATAACAGAAATTAAGCAACAACTAGATAACTCACGCCCTTAACCTAGAGGGGTAGTCAAATAACGGACCTTAATTTGGCGCGGTCCTGAGATATAATTTATACAAATACTAGCTATCGCCCGCGACTTCGTTCGCGGGAATATATATAAAAACTTAATTAGTGTAGCCTATGTGTTCTTTCAGACTATGTTCTATACGTATGCCAAATTTAATCGAGATCCGTTCAGCCGTTCTAGAGATATCTTCAAACACCCATCCATCCATCCACATCACATCCATCTAAACATTCGCAGTTTTTCAAGACATAAATTCGAAAAAAAAATTAAAGATAGAAGATAGATATATCTTAATATTATAATGTTAACATAATAAAATGTACTTTGCCCACGGCAACAGCTGTAGTCGCCATATCCAAATAAAAACTTTCACCATTCTCCGCCGGAGCAACAACAGCTATAGGATTAGTACCCAGAGCCGACTGAAAATATAAAAGAAACTTTTGTTACTTATTTCACCAGAGTAAAAACTTAAAAATTTATCTTACTTTAATAAATATAACACACGGGATTAATATTATTATAAATGTAAAGGAAATATACATCCAAATACACTAGTTACCACCAAACTAAGCTTCAAAGTATACGTTAACATAATTTTTGTCTGATTTACCTGTTTACTTCTCGTTGGCGCGAGTAGAGGCGAAGTATTGGTAAATGCCATTCCTATTAGACCTTTGTCAGCCGCTTTCTGCGCCCACCAGCCAGCTATACCAAAGTGGTTAGATCCTAAAACAAAATAGACCGAAATATTTATAAATGGAACCTAACAGCCATTATAGAGTTACACAAACACTATAGTTGTCAAATGGTTATGCGTGTAAGATACAAACGGTCATGAAAAAACTAACGTGTGTAGCTAGCATTATTAGCGGCCTTCCCTAATGTGTGTAGGCTGCTTTATTAGTGGCCTTGACCTAATGTGTGTGACCTGTATCATACGACATATGTGAAGTTTCACCTTTCACACTAACCCAGCCGACGCCGGTGTCCCTAGCCTTACTGACGGCGAGGTCCATAGCGAAGTGACCAGCGGTGGCTCCCAGCACATTGTTGGCATCTACCCATGCGGTAGACGCACTCTCTTTGAGCACACGCGGCTCGTTGTTAGGACAACACGCCCCAGTTTTGATATCGTTTATGTAATATTCTGAAAATTATAGAGTTTTATTAATGTTTTTTTTTTATGGAAAACGATAAGCTTACTGTACGTTTGAACGTTTAATCAATTTGTAAAACCGATCAACGTATTTCTTATTACGACATTGTAAGGTGACTTTGTTAGCGGCATTGTTATCAGTGCTGTTAGTCAACGGCACTTTATCGACTGTACAGAAATGAAGGACGTCTCTTTATAAATAATTTCATTTGATATGCCATTTGCCAAATCTACAATTAGCATAGGCATAAATATAATCTTTAGTTTTTTTACTTTCTTTCTTAAATTCGCACATCATCCCGACAATTTCTTTCGTGGGTTTTCACTATTGAAAAACATGTATTTACTTACATATGCATATTTAAAATTATATTACCGTCTCCCTCCATCTTTGTGCAAAAATAGAGGCAACAACATTTACTAGACACTTCTACGTATCACTCTATACGGCAATGGAATATCTCTGTTAATCGTATCGTAGTTTTTCACATAGTTATTTCCTTTGTTATTACCGAGTCTGTTAAGTCCATGACTAGGATGTCCAAGTCTGTCCGCCTGCAATAACAGCTCGGCCTGCTGCTGCGCGGCCTTGCTCGCCGCACCAACCGCCTTGAGGCAGTCCGTCATGAAACGCAACGCTTCTGATGTTGCTACTTTACCCATTCTCACTTATATAAATCCTAGAAATAAAAAAAAACGCATTGTAAACAGATCACTATTGTTTATAGAGACTTGCTGTCACCCGCGAATATGGAAGTAAATAATAATTAGTAGATAGCCTATGTGTTCTGCCAGATTATGTTATACATATGTGCCAAATTTTCATCGAGATCCTTTGAGCCGTTCTGGAGATACCTTCTAACAAACATCCATCCATCCATCTAAACAATTTATAATATTAGTAAAATAGTAAGAAGTAAGATTATACTAATATAGAGATGAAGTATTTCCATTATAATGTTAATGATGGATTTAACCTCGAACCTTAGTTCCGATTGTTATGTAAATAACTACGAACAAGATCTTAGCTGTGGTTATGAATAATATTATGCCCGATTTTCATAATTCCAATTCAGCGATTGATATTATTGCTGAATCACAACTGGAAAAATCTAAACCTTCGCTGGAATGCATTGAGTGAATTGAGCACTAATTTTGATCGTTGGACTGGTAAATGTAAAGCGGGAATAATTATTTTTAAAAAGTTTGGTAAATTAAAATATAACATATGTTTGATGATAATTGCCTTTCATATAAATTAACAAGTATTTTTTCTTTTGTTTACAAACTTTACATTTCAAGTTGGAACGAACTGTGGCGTATCAGTTACATTGGGTTAACGACCTACTTAACCTGTTGCCGGCAAAAATGTCATGTGGAATAATCATTATCTACTGACTTCTGTAATAACTACAGTAATATAAAAAAATAAGAAATTTGGTACATTAATTGCTATTTAGGTATTTGAAGGAATAAGATATTCGACTGTAATTACTATATATTCAAAAAATTATAAGTAGAATCTATTAGAATGTTTTATTTGGCCAATGTGATTTGTCCTAGTCTATAAGTTAAAGAAATTTAAACTCTAACCGAAACCAATAAAATCTATATTCAAATGGCATGACCTAATTTAGTAACATGTGCCGTTGAGTTTTGGGTCGCTGAAAATAGTTATTTTATTTTTATTCACTACTTTGTTAAACGTAAAAACATACAAAGTTATGTATAATTTATTTGGTTCATCTATGGTTATCTATCATACGTTTATAAACAGTAGATTAATCTATGTGGATTAAGAATATACTTAAAACTTCCAAGAAATAGGTATAAATAACCATTGTGGATACAATTGGTCATTAAATTAACCAGGTCGTATCAATTGTCAGTTTCAAGCGGCGTCGTAAACAAAATAAACAAACATAACACAACCTTGGAAATGCGTCATTTAGGTTAGTTTTTAAGAAATCAAATTACCTGTGTGTTGGAAAATATATCGATTTCTGTCTTTTCCTTGTTTGCTTTAATTTAAATACAGAGCACTTTAAAAACCAAACAGCATTAAAAAGTTGAAAATGAACTACGGCACCACGTACATACGTGTGTCCACGACCGGCAAAGCGCGCTACTGTCGCGCCCGGCGCCCTGAGCGACGCCTACCGTTACAAATGTAAATAATAAACATAATGGCGTTATAAGATAAGACAGATGCCAATGAAATCAAACGTTTTAATATTACTTATTATCTTATTAACCATGGGTTTCAGAGTACAAAATCTTCGTTTAAATCATATTGCTATCTCTGTTTTGTTAAAGATGAAAGACAGTGATGGCAATATGTTTTATACAGAGATTTAGGTGTCAGAAACCCATGGTATATCAAGTAAGTAATTAGTTCCAAATAAGTGTACAAAAATAATGTATATTAAATCGAATAAAAATTAAAATTTTGGTGAATTATTTCCAGCGTTCTCAATTAAAAAACTTGTAGTTAGATGTCTTTAAGTTTTCAAGTTAAAATTATGTGATAATAGGACATTTTATTTTTAAAATATAATATCTTATTTTTTCAAATAAATTAATTAAGTTATTAGGTACCATAGTAACTTCTTCAGTTATTTTTTGTTTTATTATTTATTTACTCCTGCGTAACCATTGGATGTTAGTTCTTACTATGTTTATATATATTTATTACAAGTATATGTACCTATATGTATATATTTTTTGTTATTATAAATCTAATCCCGGAGGTAAACAGAATTCAAGTCATATTTGAATTGTATGAAAAAATGCAAACATTTTCTCTAATCTTGCTTATTTATTCCGCTGGCGCATCGACCCAAAGTGGATCTTGGCCTCCGACACAAGAGATCGCCAAAGTCGCCTGTCTTGCCTTCTCCTGCCAGTCCATCGCTTTTAGCTCCCGCAGATCCAGCTCTACGTATCTCTAATCCAGTACAATATATTCTAGTAGTGTAGTAGTAGTTGCTATAATTAACTTGATAAAGTAATTAGTATGTATTGTTAGATAACAGTATATTATATAAACAATTTACATAACACTCTCAGTAAATCTTAAACAACTTTGAACAAGTGTTATTAACAACAGCTGATAACATTGTCTTCACAAAAAAAGTACACTGAAGAAGATATTTTTCTGTTTCTTAAGAATAAATTAATAGTAAAGATATAAAATTCAAAAATCTTAATAAAAAATAATTTGTCATATCACGAAATTTATTGGAAGGCTTATTAAAAACCTTTAACTTATATATGAAATGTTACGATATAAATTTAATATTTTCTATAACAGATCCAAATATGGAATAATTGGTAGAAATGGAGAACACAATCGCTGGAACTGAAACATACCGTATCTATACTTGGGTTATTTGAAGGACCATCGTTAAAAATTTTATAAAATTAAAAAAAAATGATTAAATTCGCATTAAGGCTTTGTACTTCATAAGTAATCCAAAGTCTAATAAAATTATAAAGGGTTTGTGCACCCTGTATATGACGGTATGAACGAGCTCACTAATTTGTTGTAAACAAAAAAATAAACTTACCTACCTTTGCATTTTATAGCGTAGTACCAAAGAGTCTGGACAAAACCGCAATGGGTTTATAGACACTTTTATTGTAAATATATATACTGTTCTTTGCTTATATAAATTTATAGAAAAATAAAAAACAAATGTGCTTACGAATGTACGTTATCATGTTATCGACAATTTATTCGTGCTGTTAAATATTTCTCAGTGACAAAAGATAGTGTAACGTGTTGATTAACTTCGCGGCTATAAGTCGGTTCGACAGTTTTTTGTTTGCAGTAGCAGTGCCTTGGTAAGTAAAAAAGTTAACAAAAACCTGGGAAATTGTTTGTTAATTTAAAAGCAATTTAAATATTCTCATATAGTCTGTTCAATTTAAGATTACAAATTTGTTGTAGATTAATTTATTTCCAAATTACATGATTAGAAACAGCACAGTAAGTAAATATAATTTATGTTGTGCGTTTTACAAAAGTTATGGTTTAAATTAATTAAAAAGAAATGTGAATAAAAATGAAGTTTAAACGTCATATTTTTGATTTTAAAAACGGGATTTTATGTTTTACGTTATATTTATAATCATGTTTTATTGTGGATTAGCTTTTAAGAATAACGAAAGGATAAGAATGTGCATTAGATGTTTGTATACTAAGGTAACTTAGCAGTAGAAATGCAACAATGAATGGAATAATGACAATACTTTCTATTTACAAGAGATTTGAGTTAGTAATTTGCTGTTACTTTTACAAATTACTTAAACGAGTTTATAGGTTAAAATCTCGCATACATTAGGAATCTTAAAACATAAACGATTCTACCGCTTGATTGTAATAACATTTTTGATTAAATGAAAAAAAAAATAAACAACTTTGAACAATTGTTATTAACAACACCTATTTTTGATATGATTAATAACTTTCCACGAATATTATAAAGTTGTAAAAAATAACAGCCTGTATAATCCGCTATATAGATCGAGTGTAATAGATTTAGATATAAGTAAGAAGGCTAAGCGTTTCATACAGTCAGTTGCAGCCATGCCCGAAGTGCGAGTGGACGAGGTGCGCAGGTTCATGGTGGATAGTTTGCTGGCGGCTGGAGCACCGGAGTCCGAGGCGAAGGCCCACGCTGACCTTCTGCTGTATGCCGACACCGTTGGACACTTCAGCCATGGACTGAATAGACTTGGTTAGCGGAACCCAAGATATAGTGTCCCACAAGTGAAGCTACATGTCTTCAGCTATACATACCTACCGAAGTGCTCAAACCAAGTCATTAGAGTGACAAGGCCTTATTCGATAAGCTGGTCAGGTGTGGATTAAAGCTAGTTATACAAATATCTTCAAATTTCATCGCAATTTTCTTCGCCATAAGACGGTCAGCATAATGTTCATATGTATGTAAGTAAATTCGAACGTCACAAAACATCAATATGTTTTGTGACGTTCGAATTTACTTCAATAATTCAAACATCAATATGTTTTGTGATTGTCAATATAATGGTGGGGATCGAATTCAGGACGCGTAGATTATAATTATAATGCATAATCACTGTGCCAAGACTGAGAAAGTTACATAAAAATCAGCAACTGATCAAATCCCGACTAATCTCAGGCTTATTTCCTCAGAGTTATACGTGAACGACATAAAAGGAGGAATTACACATCCCGAACGCAAGCCGGTAGTCCTCAAGGAGTCACCGGCTACAGCCTGGGTGGACGGTATGGATACACTAGGAGCGACTGCTGCTAACTTCTGCATGGATCTGGCTATCAAAAAAGCTAAGGAGTGTGGTGTTGGCTGGGTGGCCGCTAAACGTAAGTGAGATTCGTAAGTTTAATTTTTTATGGAAGAAAATGGCAAACAATCGAAGACTCGAACTCTGTTGTCATCAACAGGACAGTGCTGACCGCTAAAGATTACCATGTCAATGTTACTGACTGAAGTTTGATTTAGACAAGATAGTAAACCGCGTGAAATAATAACTACTTTTCCCGATTAGTCATTGATCTCGGATGTTTACGTTAATTATTTACATTCAGGAACAAACCACTTCGGCATGGCAGGATACTGGGCCATGAAAGCGGAGAAGGAGGGTCTCATTGGCTTGGCATTTACTAATTCAGCACCTATTATGATACCAACGAGATCTAAAGAGGTAATCGAAGTAACCTACTTCTTAGTATTTATTACTTAAATGTTTAGTACATTGTTATTTAATATTATCTGCTGACCGCGACTCCGTCTGCGCGGAAAAAGAACTTAGTTGTCTATGTGTTCTTCCAGACTATACACAGACATGACAGATATCACAGACATGGATGTAGCATGTCAAATTTTATCGAGATCTGTAGTCATTCTGGAAATACCTTCTATACATCTAAACTTTCGTATTTATAATTTTAGTAAGTTTATCTTACACATTTAAAAAACGTTGAAAGTAAGTAAACGTTAGTTTCCTGTGATATACCTTATTTCAGAGTGCATGCGGTACAAATCCATTAGCTTTAGCAGCGCCCGCACTAAAAGGCGATTCTCTATTAGTTGACATGGCGACAACCACAGCTGCTATGGGAAAGGTAAAAATAGATTAATAAAAAGTATAGGACACGGGAATCCTTTTTAATGTTTTATTTAAGTGGTACATAAATACAATTTTTTTAATACTAGCTGTCGCCCACGACTTCATCCGCGTGGAATTAAAAAAAAACATAATTAGTACCCTATGTTTTCTTCCAGGTTATGTTCCAAAATATGTATTCCAAATTTCATCGAGATCTGTTCAGCCCTTTTGGAGATTCCTTCAAACAAACATCCATCCATCTAAACGTATGCATTTATAATATTAGTAACATTATTTCAGATAGAGATGCAGATACATAAGAATGAGCCGATACCCGAAGGATGGGCGCTTGGACCTGATAACAAAGTTACCACAGATGCACAATTGGTATGAACTGCTTACTAAAGTTTAACGCTGTCCTGAAAAACACCTACCATTAAAATTCTTAAGTAACTTTTGTAGAAGAAGTTTTAGAATACGATTTGCGATGTATTTAATCCAATGTTAACGTAATTTGTCTCGCACTCGTAATAACATCATTAAATCTTTTACAATTGATCTATTTACGACGGCTTATTTTAAATTAATGTGCAGTAGTTATAATAATTAATACGATGTTTATATTATGTTTTCAACGTATAAGTCAGTTGTCCTCTTCCTTATAGCATAGTTTGCATTAGATTCAAGATAGGTATAGTGACATTGAGTTATTTACACGATGTTTTAAACCTGCAAAGCAATTTTCCGCTTGATCGAGCATCATGCAAGTACCAATATATTTCTTTGGGCAAGCAACTAAATGTATTTATTTTTAATCCAATTGGTTTATTCTTATAAATTCCCAGAATTTCTACACAAATAACACCGGTAATTTCACATAAATTACGTTTTAAAAATAAATTAAATTCCTTTTGTTTTATTTCTAAGCGCCTATAAAAATGAATTAGCAAACTTGTAAATCTACCTTAAATTGTAATTAATTCGTATTTATGTATCTTTTTAGGCATTCGACACAGCTAAGTTGCTGCCTCTAGGAGGTTTAGAAAAAACAAGCGGGCATAAAGGCTACTGTCTCAACACTATGGTAGAAATATTCTGTAGTGGACTTTCGGGTAACAAAACCATTGTCACTTAATTAATTAATTTTAATTTTTTTTGTTTCGAAACTCATGCTATATGTACATTTTACAATATAGGTTCAAATCCGACCTTCAAAGTGCCAGGTTGGTCGTTCAGTCAGGACGTTGCGCCAGACCTGGGACAATGCTTTGCAGCGATTGACCCTGGTTGCTTCGCCCCGGGCTTTGCACAGAGAGTCGCTGAATGTCTAATGCATTGGAGGAATTTGGAACCTGTAAGTTATAACATATACTTTTCTAGCCGCGATATATTTTGAAAAAAATATATTATATTATTTAGAACAACATCCAAGAACCTTTTTTGCGTTTTAAAATTATTTAATTTATTCACCGCAAGTTCACCTAATTAAAATCATGTTTCCATTTCTTAATTTGAGATGTAATCTAGTGACATTTTTAATTATATTATACTTCAAATTCGTATAATACTAGACGAAAAAAATAAAAAAAACATTTTTAAATGTAGATCGATCCATCACTACCGGTTCTCGCGCCAGGAGACAAAGAACGTAACAACAGAGAGGCGACTTTGAAGAAGGGCACAATCACCTACCCGCAGGGACAAATTGACTCCTACTATCGCATGGCGAAGAAAATTGGCATCAAACCTTTAACCGTTGTGTAAAACCGAAGATGGTTTTAACATTTCCGTAGCCATGAGCGAAATTTTTTGGGCGCCTTCTTTTTGTTGTTGGGGAACGTCTTTCAAAGATGTCCCTTATCTTAGGAGGCACCGCAGGTGCCCTTTTATATTCTACTGTGGCACCGACGGTGTCCCATTATATCCAGCGCCCTGGGCTGTCACCCTATCTCGCCCTACCTATAGGTCGCTAATTTGTAAAACTATCTTATATTAGGTGAAAATGATTGATGGATTGTTTTTGAGAATTAAAATATAGCTAGAGTTAGTGCGATTGTAACCGAGCGGTTTATACATTGTGAAAAAGTTAATATAAGCTATAGCAACGTCTTTAGTTCTATCCATTTTGAACCTTTCTGCCGCCATAATTCCCCCCATATTGTGGTCTCGTTGTTTATGAGATGACAATAAGCGTCCATTACAGTCGGAAACCACTTACAATTACAAATCTGTTATTAATTATTATTAAAATTGGAATACCTGTGTGTAATATCGAAAACAAAATACATTTCGTAAACAACAATGTATTTGATTTACTTATAACGAAAACCTATTTTTTTTTACCACAAATTCGCATTTGTTCGGGGTATTTTACGAAACGGTTGGACAGATTTTTACGGGAATTTTACTGGAAGGTAGCCGATGAGTGCCGGAGTTACGTAGCCTATTTCTTTAATTCCATGCTGATGATGCGGGCAACCGCTAGTGTACTATATATGTGTATGACTTTATTTCGTGACGAATGCGTGTCAAATTTGAGGACAGACTTTTTGTCTTACTGAAGGTGAACTACCTAATACTTGAATAGTATTTACTGAGATGTAATCAACATACAATGGTACAAGTATCGTATGAACAACCAAATGGGGGCGTACATTATCTATAGATTTGAAAATCGGATAGCTTTATTTTGTTGTGAAAAAATAATACATTACTTTAACATCGTGTTAAGTTTTTTTTTAATTTAAGCAAACATATTTGACACGATTACTAATAATCAAAGAGGCTTAGAAATATATGGTTGGAAGGCTTGTATAAAAATAAGCATTTCTTGTTCATGATAAGGAATTCTCGTAATACATTTTGTTTAGAAAAAAAATTGTTAAAATTATTTTTTTTTTCAAGATGTTAAGTAAATTAAGGTTGAACCAAATCATATTTAATCCGACCTTCCCTTCAATTAACTTGCATTAAATAATGAGTCAGTATGCAATGCAATTTTTATTATTTTCATCACTGTAATGACTTTGTTCGCGACGGGTTTGCTCCTAGATTAATATACTCCAGGACCGTCTTTTTTATTTTTAATTACTATTTTAATTGTAACAAGTTACTCAAGCCGATGGGCGAGATTAAAGGCAGGAGACATGCTGGACGTAGGAAAAAGTCGTGGCTATGCAGTATTCGGGAGTTGTAGGTAATTAGCTAATTAGGAATTGCTTTGCAAGACAGCAACAAATATTCTAACTTAGCAGCCAACCTTTGAATGAAGAGTCACAAGAAGAAGAATGGTAACAAAGAATACAAAATAAAACACATATGCTCTCATTAACAGGAAACATGAAAGTATGAAAATGCCAAGGATTTCACAATAAATATTTCTTGTACCGTTTTCCTGGTTCATTGAAAATCAATGAAGAAGGCATTTTTTACATTGATCTTGATAGTACCCATTAAGAGATATCGTCTCATTAAAAAAATATATCCCTAAAACAGAAAGAAGTTTTGCTTCCCTGATGTCTTCGAAGAAATTACTAATATTGTAGTCATTATATCTCAGCCATATTTACCAAGAAATGTTAAATCTTTAAGGAAATTAATTTGTTCCTTAAAACTACATTAAAGTTTTGTTATTCATAATACACTTTCTATCAATACAGAGAAAAAGCGTAGAAATCATGGATGGATTGTGTAAAAGAGGATATAAGTAATGTTAGGAAGAAAATCCGACTCTGTACCGGTGTACTGGCGCAACACTAGCCTTACGTTATGTCGACGTTTATGTCCCCACACTAATCATTCTGACACTTGATAATGAAAGCGCGCCATTCGCGACAAAGGATTCTAATGATTAATGTCTGAAATTAAGAAGGGAGTGTATTTAGAGTGTTGATTCGTATCGATCTTCTGTAGTGAAAAGGGGAGATACTTTTTATTATTATCAAGGCATTATATTAATTAAAATTCAAAGATGTTAACATTGACCTTCCGCAACAAGCGTCTACATTGTTCGATCTAGAAGCTCGTAATAAACACGAGATGAGACGATCAAGCGACGATAATTACGAAAGAATGTTGATTTATGTTGTTAATGTTATTCTTACAATGGGTTTCCACTACTAAAATGCCTCGAATAACACTTATTGCCATCCCTTTCACACATTTGAAGAAAAAAAGGACAACAATGTATTTTTAGTACTCTTATTTGAACAGTGCATACCCGCGGTTATTCTGCAAACTGGATGTTCTCGTACCTCACAAAGAATCCGTAATTTTGTTTCTTTTTTTGACATTCTTATGTTTTTCTGGTTTTAATATGTTGATACTAGTTGGTTACTTCTCGAAAAATAAATGCGTAGTATGTTTTATATTATTCATATTTGCGTTAAATCAAAATAGTAAAGGTTAGTAGTGGCCCGACACTTCATTCACGCGGAATTAAAAAATCTAGTAATAAATATAGCGTATGCAATAGGGATAGTGTAGCTTAGAGTGAAAGAATTTTTCAAATCAGTTCTATAGTTTCGAAGCCTATTCAATGCAAACATATTATTAAATCTTTTCTCTTTATAATATTGGTATCGATACAGGTATAGTCCGACAAACGTACTTGGTCCTGTGATAGAAACGCTGCTATCTAGGTTTGTTCTGCCAGAAATAATGCAATCCTACTTAAGCAGAGAAAATATCATAAAAGAAATTCATAACAGCACAAGGATATTTAAAATTTTTTAACATTGAAAGTTTAGCGCTAATGGGCTATTGTAATTTAGTGTGACGTCCACCGGGTCAGTAAATTTTGTCTATCTATAAGTAGTTAGTAAATATATGAATGCAAATAAATAACAGCTCTGCATCCGACAATGTACAGAGAAAGGTCCTTGCCATCAGGCTTTCACCGGCTTTCTATTTAAAACGGTAAACATAATAAATAAGCCTTTGTTTGAAGTTATACGAAAAGAAAAACAAACCATTTTGCATACAATGTTACTTAGTAACCGTGTTATTTGGAAAGCTGAAAAAATGACATTAGATTTTTTTAACTTTTTCTTTTAAGCATGTAAGTAAATCTCCGTTAAGTGTAGATGTGTAATTTGTTTTATTGTTTTAATTCGCAAAAATAAATTAAAAAGGAAGAAAGAAAAGCCATTTCTATCTTAACAATTTAAATGGAAAAATTTTTTTAGGCTAGAACTAGTGAATCGTTATGAATAAATTCTTTCCTATTAGACACTCGTGTCGAAGTGTGTTTTAATGCACAATTTTTCCTTTTATATAACATTATCAACTTGAGGATATGACTAGAAAAATTATAAAATTTTTAATAAATGAGGTTAGAACTAAGAAAAATAGTTTACAAATATATACAGGGCTGCCAACTTTATGTGTTTTCATGATGCATATTCGGGCTACGAGTTTGACTGGTGTATTAGGATCAGGTAAGTTTGAAACATTTCATTGAACTGGATGTTGTTTTTTGGCGTTCACTAAAAATTAAGGGCGGACGTCGATTTTTTTTCTCCTGTCTTTTCAAGTTAAGAGTTGACTTGGTCATTTGTTTTTGTTTGCTGTTTTTCTTTTCTTTTATTAAATTTTGACAGCCCTAATCATGAGTTTATTAAGTACGTATGATGCGGCTTACAGGAAGCGTTTAACGTCTCAATCTAACGTCACTGCAATTTGTAATGCAAAATGATTATTTTATCACGAAGATTACGTCATTATTATTAGCATCTAGATCTGCCGTACGTATAGGCGCTTGCGCCTATTACTTACCTACCAATATCCTACTTTACCTTCGGGTAAAAGACTTTCTAGTTTTCGAACAACTACTTAGGTAATCAAATCTAACTATTTATTAGTTAGGATCATAAAACGTTTAATTATTATAATCAATTACTCCTTATTTTCACTCAAAATCTTAATTAAATTTAAATGCTTTGTTTACGAAATGAAACAAGCCATTAAATGTAGTCACATAATTTGGGAAAATCATAACAAAAACGCTTTCTCTGTTCATAAAACGTTAATTTGATAAAAATGTGTTGAAAATTATTTAATAGGTTACAAGTTTTTACACGATTCATATACTTTTTTTTGGCTTGAAATCATATAATTGTTTTAACTTGCTGCCTTGACAAGTAAATGACGTCATGAATTATTATGTTAATTGGTGAATACAAGAAATTCTTTAACAAATAATTAAAGTATAAAGTACATAGGATAATTAAATTGAATATTCATGGCCTACTTCCTCTAGTTTTAAATTTATGTTATTGATTAAATATTAAAGAATCAAATTAAGAAAACACGTTCCTTCGTCTATTAGTGCTACGTAAAAGCTGAATACAAATGCGACAAATATTAGAAAGAATGTCGTATAAGAAACTCCTTTATAACAGTTCAGTTTTACTGATAAATTAAGAATAAAAAGATGTTGTGATCTCTTTTATTCCCTTTGAAAAAATTGAGATAACAATACGTCTTTGCACAGCTATTACGAGTATATGGAAGTTCACTGTATGTGAAAAGAACTTTCTAAAGGCCTCGTCTTTAAAATTTACTACAAATAATAAAGAATTGTCACAATGTTCCGCGTGTTATGTAAGTGATGAATATTCTAATGCATTGTGTAACTCTACTTCCGAATACGAAGGCCATTGAGTTACTCTGTGCTAAAAACTTTTAAACGAAAGTAAACGAAATAGTATTTAATCGTATGTACTCCACCAGCGTAGATAAAAAAATTTGATTAATAGTCCATGTGTTCTTCTTGACTATGTTCTACATTTAGGCAATATTCCAGCGTGATCAGCTCAGTCCTTCTGGTAATAAACAGCCATCCATCTATCCGTATAACTTATGCAATTATATAATAAGTAAAATTAGTAAGAAATAAGAATGTAAGGATGGAATTTGAAATTGTGTGAAAATGGAATGTGGCGTTTGGAATTGTTCCAAACAGTTCTTCGAAACTTATTTAATAGTAATGAGGAATGTGTTCAAGTTAACTCATCGAAACTTGTAAATTGCAGATTCAGCCAGTAATCGTATATCATTACTTATAAATTATGATGAACTGGCTGTTGCCCGTGTCTTTGTCCATACGGAATTAAAAAACCTAATTGATAGACTAACTGTTCTTCCAGCCATTTTCTATAGCAAATTTGATCGAGTTCTCTTCAGCCCTTCAAGAGATACCTCAAACAAACATCCATCCATCTAAACATTCACATTTATAATATTAATAAGATTATGTAAATTTCCATTCAATCAATTTTATAAGGTTTTATAAGGTGTGTTGCATTTGATCTTTTCGATGTTTTGTTACATTAAAAACATCCAATCATTTAATTTTATTGCTCAATATCGATTAGTGATGATTACTAAAATTTAATTTGTAAAAAATATGCATAAAAATTTCAAATAAAATAAAATGTTGATTGAATTATTCTGGAAAATCACCGTATAATATCTTGTTTTATTATGGTTATCTATCTACTCATAGGGTTGCCATATCACTGCATATTTTTAGAATACAAGAGACGTAATTAACGAAGTTTAACACAATAATAATAGAATTATATTTCTCAACGTGGCTTCAGATTTTTCATATTATTTGTATCTTACCAAATCTTACTAATCTTACTTACAATGTTATAAATGCGATTGTTTAGATGAATGGATGTTTGTGTAAATATATCTCCGTAACGGCTTAACGGATCTCGCTAAAATTTGGCATAGATGTAGAGCATAGTCTGGAAGAATAAATAGGCTACTTATATTTTTTTGATTCTGCGCAGACGGAGTCGCGGGCGACAGCTTGTATATCAATAAAAATATAAAGAGTTATAAATACTTATACACACTAGAGCGAACAATACGAGCTTTCAAATTCGATATACAAACATTCTAATTATGGTATTTCTTTTTAAAAGTATGTGTAGTGGCAACCCTATGAAATGCAAAGCAACCGTTAGACATGTGGCATACTGTGTCTCCCTATCATTATATCTTGAAGCAATATAATTGTACCATGAAGTCACATGTGGTTACATGCAACAATGTACAGTCATCTTCCTTCGCGGTGTTACAGTTAGAGAACAATTGCCTTGCACTTCGCAACGAACTGAAATAGCGAACTTTCTTATTGTGTGTTTTGACAGCAGTGACAGTTGTATAATTTAATAGACTACTGTTGTCTCTCTTTTGTTAAAGATAATGAAAGGGATGGCAATACGTATCAATACAAGTAACTGCAGTGGAGTTCTAGTTTCATACATTTACAATAAAAATGTCATTAAATGTATTGATTAAATGAAAATCAAAGTCGGTAACTTTCTTGTCGGTTATTTTCTCAATATATTTCAATGCATGCGATTCGTTCAATTGACGATCACTTTAGAGATGGGTAACCGTCAACGGAGTCCACTGTACATTCATTTAAGGATTACAGACGATTACATGTAGACATATTTATCATAACCTTATTAATACTCGAAAGATCTGCAGAAATACATATCTGTTAGCATAAATAACATCTACCTGCTATAATTTATAGACCGGATTTAATCCATTCATTTTGTAGTATTTAATAAATTCAAAGATACTCATATTAGCGGTTACTTTAGTATTTAAGCTTAAAATTTTATGACACTAGTGTTTTTCTTTAAGAAGTATATGAAAATAAATTAATTTTTTAAAGGCTCTTAAAATTCGCAATACCCATTTAAATTATTAACAGCAAGCAATTAAATAAATCGTTCATTTTGATGTACGAAAAGTGAATGTGGCTATATGAATATTTGCTAGACATATCTAAAGGCCATGCGATTTATAAATGACGTGTTTAAATTCATTTCGTAAAATCAATATAACTCTTTTAGACATGACAATTTTTATTGAATGTACATAAATAGTTCGACTGCGAACTAACCTAACTCGGTTATTTAGTTTAAAATAAGGGCTGCGAAGTCAGATTTTTGTATCTTTCATTAAAACGTGTCTTCATCCAGCAATAAATAACGATAGAAACGATAAATAAACTTTGTTTTAGTAACCAATTAATTTTAAATTGTAAGTCTGGAATAAAACTGAGTACCTATTAATCGAAACAGATCGAAGGACACTAAACAATTTTTTTTTATTACAACAATCAAAAAGAATAATAGCTAAGCTCTGAACGAAAATAATAAATCGGCAATACAATCATCGAAATAATTCACAAATATTGCATTGGATATCAATATCATAAAATATACTGAAATATAATTTGGAGTATGCATCTCGCATGCATTTTACTTATCTTTTATATGAAAAATATTCAAATCTGACATTAAATAAAATATAACGCTATGCAAGTTTTAGTTTACGAAGTTGGTACATACTGTATACCATAAAATGGATTCTAAAATACATTGGCTAGCGTTAATTAATTATTAATAATAATTTATATAGTAGAAAATTCACATTGTATCTTTCTGACCGCATTTTCTTTTAATGTCGGGTTTATTGTATTTTAATAGAAGTTATTACGTTTATTTATTATTTTATTATTCTAACATAACTATTATAAGAATAGAAGTCAAATTCAAAACTTACACACGGTAAGAAGTAACTAAAGAGTTCCAATTTTTTCTAAAAATCCGTCAAGTCTTTTGAGCACTTTCAAATTTTATTTAATCTGTCGTGTCAAAGCATACTTTTTAAAGGGCACTTTCACATCGGAACATTTTTGTCACAACTTTCATAACCACTTTACGATAATTCTTTTTCTTCTATATTTTTTCGACTAAAAACCACAATGTTTACTATCCGTGACGAATTGACAGATGACAATCTATGTTTAAACAATATGTCAAGGTCAAAGGGTGAATAGATCAAGTAAGTATTTGTATGTACAGAAAGTGTTGTCATTTAAAAAAATATTTGATGCATTTTGACAATTCTACCAGCGATATCGTTAATTTAATGTTAATGGGCAGATTTATGATTGAAAGTTGGTTTCTGAGACCAAAATCTCTCGACGATAAAACATATCTTCATCCCAGTCTTTAATCTTTAACAAAACATAGATATGTTTTAAACTGCTTTAAGCGGCGATTATAGCCTCAGAAACCTACAAAAAATATTGTAATGCTTATCATTTTTAAGGGTATAAATAAAACGAGTTCCAAATTTTATTAAACATAATATATATACATTCTAAGAAGAGACAGTAAATATAATAAAAGAAAGCAGAAAATATTATGTTAACTAAATTGTTATATTACTGTAGGATGAGGTGTTGACACCCGTAAAAAACATATCGCTGTCTCTATTTTTTTAAAGAGTGTGATAAGAATGGCGATATGTTTTTAGTACAATTGTGTCAGCAGTGCAAACTGTTACAAACAGGAGCTATTAAAATACCAATCAAGTTATTATAAAGTCATTAGCGTTGATATGTTAGCTTTACTAATTAGGTCGAAAGAAGTTTTTATGTAAACATTCGTCGGCAACTTTCTAAATTATTGACATTATAAATAACTATATGTAAATTCTAAGCAACTGTAAAAATGTCGTCGCACTTGGACAATTAATTGTAAGAACGGTAAATACAGAAAAGGTCATGAAGGTAATAATAAAATAAATATATTTACATATTATTTTAAAACGAAGAGCCTCTTATAATAATTAATTTTAATATTACGTTTAAAATCAAAGAATTTAATATGTCTTTTTAATCTTATATATAAAATTATCGTGGCACAATTTTCGTTCCGATACTCCTCCGAAAAGGCTTGACCGATTCTCATGATATTTTGTGAGCATATCGAGTAGGTCTGAGAATCGGCCAATATCTATTTTTCATCCCCCTAAATGTTAAGGGTAGTTCACCCCTAAATTTTTATTTTTTAGACAAAGACGCGGGCGACAGCTAGTATCTTAAAAAACAAATGTTATTAAGTTCATTACAAAACAGATATTCAAATATAGTAGTTATAGAGCGGATCACGAGCACTTTCTTTTAACACGTTGTGTGAAACCAGGTCTAAAACACGTGTACGTTTGTGGAGAATGCGAATAAGAAGCGAATAAAACTCCCTATCGTGCGAAAAATAAATAAAATTTAATCACAGTGCGGAACCAGGTCGAATACACCTGGTATCCTGGGCATCTTGTACTACACAGTAATATAAAGTCCCTTAATGACCTCGTAACATGTATTAATACATAATACATTGTTGTCTCTGTATTATCAAAGAGAATGAGAGTGATGGCAAAATGTATTACTACAATTGTGACGTCATTTCTAGTGTAATATGGAGATCATGAGAACATCGCTTTAAATTACTCTCTATTACATCCAACAATAACGTTAGCTTCGTAAAATTGTATTCAATATGATATGAGCTTGACGTTCTGTTGCAAGATATAAGAGCAATCCGCCATTTTGTCCGCCATCTTGTTCCGAATGGCTAACCAGAAACAATGACTGCGTCCGTAAATAAGTATATTTGTATTTAGCAATGGAATTTTAGTTTAATAAATATTGAAAATACTTCACTAAAAGTAAGATTAAATATAAATATTTAACAAAACAAAATTTCATCAACTATCAATTTAAGTATTGTAATGTAAAAGACAAATAACAAAAAGGATGACGTGAGCGTTGTACAGATAATATTAAGAATCAAATCGTTTATTTTGATATTTATGGTTATCTAAATTAATGGGTTGTGGAAGGGTTATCAATTATTATAAATGTTAATAACATGTACTTTATAATAATGTTTATTTATTGTTTATATGATAAACATTTTAGCTATCTTCTTTAAATATAAATTACAAATATAAATTTAACATGATTGTTAAATCCTAATACACTATTTGTAGTTTAAAATCATCTAGAAATCCAAGTTGTTTTCGGTTTGTGGTAATAAGACCACTACGCTTAATTTCTATATTAAAATTTTAAAGAGATAGATTTGTATTTTAGTACGTAATGAATAAACTCAACTACTAGCTTGATTTCCAAAATGTTTCCCTTTAGAAAGCTAAGCCTTATAAAACATTAGTGCTGATTAACATAGTAGACTATGTTACTAGATTTTTTAAATTCCGCGCCGATGAATTCGCGGGAAAAAATAGTTATATGTAAAAATACAGAGCACACCGATCTACACTTACTTCTCCCTGTGTTTGTTTAATTCGAGAAATTGATGCAACACCCTTAGTGACCAATTAACGTCTTTGAGTGCACCACGTACACTTTAACAAGATCACTACATGGACCTTCGTTTATTAACATTAAGGAGTCATTACTTCAGTACAGGAAAGAAAAAAAATCTCTTTGAATACATAAAAAAAACTGTACAATGTTATATTTTAAAGGTAAGTGAGGCTGCATCTGTAGCGTTCAGTTCCGGTAGTAAAAGGTTTTATAAATGGTTCATAAAATATCTGATGAAGCCTTCAAGGGTCGATTGTATTATCCGACAAAATTATGTGACCCGATTTCCATAAATCAAACTAAATTAAAAAAGCATCTTCCACACTGTCAATGTTAAAAAAGTGCCTCAAGGTCATTGTCAGAACGTAGCCGTATTTTCATTACTTAAGTGTTATTTTCTATGTGTAAGTTTATATATTTTCTGACAGAATTAATCGTACACACTGCACTTCTCTATCCAAACCAAATACCAAATATCATTATCGTATAATACTATCGAGTATCCTTATATCACATTTAATTATTCTGTATGTTGTTGGAACGTCGCAAAATCTTATTTTGGCACAAAAAGATAAAAGCAATAATAACAGTGCCGTGTTATTTGAGCACGAATATGCCACTTCCTACTAAATGTTCGGCGACAACTTTCATGTGGGTGGACATTGAGGTCGTCGACATACATAATATACATGTGAATTTTGTAATATTAACAAGACGATATAATAGACAATCGAAAAAGATTTGTCATCTCACGGTCGTAGCCTAGAGGGTTAGGTTCTTCTTCTTCGTCGTTACAGTCTTGTCAGACTGGTCGTGGTCATCAAGTATCAGTGACCCGATTTAACAGGCGCCGCCACTCCTCCCTAGTCGCTGCCTTATTAGTACATTGGTATAGGGGGACATCTACAGCCGCTCTTATGTGGTCGGCCCACCTCATAGGCGATCTTCCTCGTGGTCTGTTGCCCTCAACTTTCCCCTGCTCCACCCCAAGAGGGTTAGGTTAGGTAAGATTCACTTTTTAGCGTTGCTTTGTCTTTCTCCATAAAGCTAAAATACTAATTTTTGTAACATCATTTTGAGATCCTAACCTCTAAGTACTGTTTTGAAATTAGAGAGCACGGGTAAAGCAAAGGCAAGTCTAACAAAATCTTAATAAAATCACAAATAATTACTGCATAAATTGTTTTAAGTGTCATTTAATTAAATATGCGAAGAGACTTTCAATTTAACTCGCAAATATTTTAATTTTTTTTTCCTTTTAATAATTTAATGCTAATGTGTTTTATTACGCATGGATAATAAAAGTTGAAAAAAATTATAATATAAAAATAAAATAAGTGAAACCAGAACTAACTAGTATTTACCGTAATAACTGGCCTCTATAATATGAGCTAAATGTCTGACCTTAAAAAGTAGAATATTATTTTAGTCAACTTCTTACAGTTAATTAAAATCAACTAAATCTTGCAAGGTTATCTATAAGCTAATTACTACGTGACACTTTATTTTTTAAAAGATTATAGAGATATACATTTTTTTATTTTATTAGATAAATCCTTGAAAGAGAACTTATTTTGGACGTGCTACTGGCCGGTGAGAAAGCGTCATACATGTACTTAACTTTGCAACATACCGGCGCTCACGCGCGCTATAACAACACGCAACGCCGAGCCGTGCGGACGGTCGCCGCCATTTTTCCGCGGGAAAAATTCGCGCCAATATTATGTGAATTTGAATTACGAATTGTTTCTTCAAGTGTCAATATGTTTTTTGTGCTGGTTGCATTTGTTGGCGCTTGCAACGCTGTCTATGGGCAAGATGTAAACACAATGATGAACATGCCTAAATACGATGCAAGATACGATTACTTGGATGTGGATGCGTTGTTTAATAGCAAGAGATTAGTTAGGAACTATGTGGACTGTTTAATTAATTCTCAACGGTGCACACCTGAAGGGAAAGCTTTGAAAAGTAAGTCTTTACAATGTAGCACTTCATTTATGTACATATGTGCTTCAAAGAATACTGTTTTGTGTATTCTGATAAAATCTTACTGCAACTTTCAAATTTGCAAATCAAAATGCAACCGAGCTTGTTTTCAACTAGTTTAAAGGTTAATTTAATGTATCCGTTTCTTTTTTATTTTTTATTCTATCTCAATTAATTAAGATTCATAGAAAATTATTGCTTACGTAAAGAGAAAATACATGTTTGTTTTCGGTTTGTGATTATTCGCCGTGCATCTATAGGGAGCCAAAGATTAAGTCAAAAAGGGATTAGGAGGGATGCTAGCCAACCATAAACAAGAATTTATTGAATGTGTTAGTTAGTCGTGTCAAAGATTCTAACTTAAATTATTACGTTGGCGCAAGTAAACAATAACAACGAAGTATATATTCTAAAATGTTAATACCAATTAAACTTTTATTAAAATATCTAATTAAAACTAAAATAACAAAACAACTTAACTACCGTAATATTACAACTTAAAGGTTATTTTTTTTTGGGATAAAATAAAATTATAGTTTTTTTATTATCGAGATAATTTATTAAATTTACCTAAAAAAGGTTAATGAATAATTCAGACAGAACAAAAACAAATTTAATTAGGCAATTAAGAACATATTATTACTAACGTACAGGTTGGAGATGATATCTTTGTTTTTTTGCAAGACAATGAGAGGGAAGACAGTTTATTTTTTTTTATTTTGATTGAAATATTAGCAGATTTCTTTTTTTGCAAATTTACTAATATTTCTTTAACCATTCCAACTAAGCTCTAGGCTTGTGCTAGGATATGGTTTACGACAATAGTCGAATGGTGGGATTCGAACCCCTGACCTAGTGGTCGGAAATTCGTACCCTTAACCATTAGGCTATTGACGCTTCAAAGTATATGTACAGGCGATGGAAACCCACACTTAGCGGAACAATCAAGAATTTAGAACAAGGTTTACAGCACAGAACATCACTTAGAGAGAGTGATTTTCAAATTAACATAACTCACACCCGTAACCCAGTAGGGTAGGCAGAGACCATATAACGCGGTCCTTACATACCTCCCTGCTTATTCTACATTCAAATTTTTAATTGTTTTTTTTTTTTAAATCAACCATTTGTTTAATAATTACACATATTAATCTAGTAATTTTACACCATATAAAATGGACGAACAAGGAATAAATTTAATTGGAATTTTATTTGTATTTTTTTAAACTATTTTAACTTGTTTTTTCATCAAGAAGACATGCTAAATCATATAAGTTACCTATAATATGTTATTATTACAGTTCCACTCCATTTATATCGTTACCCGTTATGTTGATATCAGTTGTGAAAATAAATACGTGACAAAAAATGTTTGAAATTAAATGTCGGAACTGAATTATTGAAATATTTTTACAGGCCAGGGTAATTTAGTTTTAACATTATATTATATAAACTTATTATAAAAACGGATACGATTAAAGAAAACTTCCGGAATACTTAAGTTACATAAGCAAGACGTAACGAAAGTTAAAATTATAAATCTTAAGACGGATTGATATTTCATAGGCCGTAAAAAAAATATTATTTTCTTCTCGCGTAGGTTTCCACTGAACAAATAATTCTACCAAAAATAATCATCTTTCTAAATCGACAGTCGATTGTTTTTTATTTCATTGTTTTTTCAAATCTTCAATGTTTGTGTTTATTACTATTTGAGATTTTAAAGAAACCAAGGCCAACAAAATTAAAAAAGAGCTTTGCTATATTTTTGGTTTATTTCGAGAGTCATTGGTCACGTTGAACATATTATAATAATTAAGCCGATGGTTAATTGTTGCTTAGCGTATTCAAGCCTTAATATTATTTATTATAATATACTGAAGCAATTTGGGAACAAAACACTTTATTTATTAGTTATTATTGAACGGTGCACACACGTTGAATAAAATCCTTGCAGAATTGGTACCATACCTTTTGTAAAGGGAAACGTGTTACGTTTTATTGCCAGCAAATGCTCTAAGGACATCGAACTCTGACGCATAAATTAACGGCTAAAATGCACATTTTTGATTGTGATTTAATGAAGAAATTAACATTGTATGCTCCCAGAGATTATCGCATTCGAAGATCTAATTTATAACACACTGTAGGTATCTAACATTTTAAATACGTTCCAACATAACCTAAAAATCTCACATAGTAATTCGCACATTCACAATTTATACAAGCAAATAAAGAAAGTAGAGAAATTGGTCAAACATTACGTCACATCCTGTCACCTACAACTCCAATTGTGGTTGGCAAAAATCATGCTTTATTTACATTGCCGCTGCTAGTATTTTTAACAATAAAGATACGGACAAGGCAAAGATACGCCTTTGACTAAATAAATTCGAACGAAATCACTACAGTTTTACGTCTTTATCGACGGATAATGACTAAAAAAATTTACACACTTTCAGCTACAAATCGAATAAACAAACAACTAAAAGAACTTATTGTTCGTCTTACATTTGCGTAGGCGAATGCGCACACGTGACAAGTCCTGTCTCTTTAAAGTCAAAGTCTAAAAGTGTACACTGCGTGCCAGCGGACCGTTGCACGACATAGTTAGCAAGGCCGAGGCATTACACATTCTACTCGCATTTAGTGCTGATCCCTGCACAACGGGATTGATAATATTGAGCCCTACACAATGCATCGCTTAGTAACTTAGTGTATCTTGCATAAGATACGAATAGGGTCAATCAAATTATTATTTTAATGCTTTCAAAAGATTTGAACTCACTTTGTATTCTATTTCCATATGGTAAAATTGTGGTAATACTCGTTGGCATATGTTATTTATTGGAAGTTATCAATCCAGCTTAGTCTAGCTCTCTTATCTAAGTCGAACCACTGATGTAGAAAAAGCGAAAAGCAAACAATCCTAATCTCTTCAACTGCCTAGTCGTAGAACATAGTCTGGAAGAACACAAAGGCGATTAAGTTTTTTTCAATTCCATGCGGACGTAGTCGCGGGCTACAGCCAGTATTAACATACAATACATCCCATTTTTGCTGCTTTAGAGAATATTTATTTTCTGTTTCTCAGAAACTGAAATAATAGAATTGACGAAACAAAACATTTTTCAATAGAACACGATAACAAACTTACGGAAACATAGAGGTGTTAGAGGCGAACATGCTTGCATAATGTTATTGGTCATGCTTGCGTATGAACATGCGATTAACCACTTATATGGGTAACGCGTATAGCATAGCTTTGTCTCCAACAAGATCGGAATAAACAACTCGTTATCGATCGATTATTTTATAAATATAACGTTTGATCAGAATAAATTGTTAATTAAAATTTTTAAGCTCGGAAAAACTCCGTTCAAAATATTTTTATTTCACATACCGTTGGTTTCCGAGACCAAAACATTCGTTTAAAACTTTGTTTTATCAAAACGACAAGCATGTCGATATGTTTTATACAGAGATTTTGGTCTTAAAAATCCTCCTATGTATTGTGTTTGTTTATTAATTTTGTCTCAAATTTCTTGAACTTGTTTTTCTTTTATACGACACAATATGTACCGCAATCCCACATTAACTATACTGTATTGAAAGTCATATGACTTTAAATATATCAAAAACGGAAGATTCATAAGTATCAGTCTCTCATGTTGCCCTTGAATCAAAGCTGGCCATGAACTATGTCAAAAACTGTATTCTTCAGAGTAACATAAAGATTATCATAACAAAGCAAGCACATTCGTGAGTTTCACGTACATATCACACGTACAATCATCAACGGTGTCATTTCGCTTAAGAGAAAAAGTATGAGTTTTTTGTACAAACGGAATATGGGTTTTGTTCTGTGCAAAAAGTCGGCAAAATAGCAGGTCACCCGGCGTTAAGTGACCCTTAGACATCGGCAACAACATAGTTTAGTTTTAATATAACATTTCTCTATTATGATTGTACTAAATGACGACCAGGACTCCGTCCGCACGGAATTTAAAAAAATAATGAATAGCATATGTGTTATATATCTATGCAGTATTTCAGCCAGATTCATGCAGCCGTTCTGGAGATATCTTCATCTATAATAAATATTGGCCTTTATAATATTAGTAAGATTTAACTGAGGTCATATTACACTCGTTTAATCTAGTCTATAACTGGTCGTAAGTAATCTTTGAATTATGTTTACAATTTATATATTCCGATTTATACGATACTTATTAAAGTGTTTTATATGTATGCAAATTTTAATGGATTGTAACTGGACTTCAAGCAAATACTTATTGTAAATAACAATTTTGTCTGGCTGTAATAACTTAAGGTCGTTGCCTTTTACAAGTTAAAAAAAATCCTAGCTAATGTTATGAATGTAAGATTGTTTGTTTGTCACGTCTATGTTAATTCAATCACAATGAAAACTTCTCTCATGTCAAAAATATTACATCTTTTATCGGCATATTAAACTTAAGCTAATTTACCTGAGATTACCCATAATTCCAATAGTTTTTCATGTTAAATCTTACTAATATTATAAACGCGAATATTTGGATGCAGGGATGGCTCAATTTTTATCGGAAGATATTTCTAGAAGGGGTGCATGGATTTTGCTAAAATTTGGAAAAGGTCTAATCTGTAAACAGTCTGGAAGAACACACAAGCTACTAATAATTTTTTTTAATCATGCGCGAATGAATTCGCATCCGACAGCTAGTTAATGATAGAAGCAAAGCATGCGAAACCGCGGCAATAGCTAGTAATAATATAAAACACCGAATGGTCTAGAAGATATTTAATCGCCGGGTAATATAATTTAAGAGCTTCGAGCTAATTCACGTTTTGTTTTTTTTCTCAAATGTTAATTATTACTTTACGATATTGAAGCGATGTTATGTTATATTTTCGATTAAAAAAACAACAAATCTCCATGTTTAACATCTGGTAAGTTATCTTTAACTTTTTTACAAGCTAAG